AGTAACGCCTGTCCCCGGGCGGCGTGCTTCCGTCCGACCGCGGAGCAGAGTCAGAGACCGGGGTCCAAGCTGCAGAGCTCGCGGCTCCGGGGGCCGCAGCCAGGCGTCCTGTCACGTGTCCAAGGGCCTCGCTGGGGGTCACGGACAACTGCGCTGTGCCTGCTCCACGTCCAGCGGACGGCACCGGCCTGGACACAGTCTCTGTCTGAGCAGCGGGACGGCCCCTGTCTGCATCCGAGCGGACGGCGCGCTGGGGCCCTCCAAAGGCTGGACATTGTCAGAGAGAAAAGAAAGCCACCACGTGGGCATGAGAGGCTCACAGCAACGACTCCTCTCTCAGAAGAGACTCCCCCGTCAGTGCTTATGACAGGTGTAAGGACTCTGAATCATTAGTTCAAAACCTCTAGTGTCGGCATGATTTCTGTTTTCCACTGCCACCTAGTCAATGCTGACTCACAGAATTCCCCAGCGGGTTTCTGAGACTAGAACTAACTGTTCATGGGAGTAGAAAGCTCGGTCTTTCTGGCTTCCCTCGGAGCTGCTGGTGGTTTCGAACTGCCAACCAGGGGGATGGTAGCCAGTGTTAACCACTACACTACCAGGGTATCAACAAGATAGAGGAGGGAGGCTAGAGTTCAGTGCTTTTCAATGTGTGCCCAGTGACAGAGTAACTTACAGGCACTGAGTGGGTTATTCTCTTGCCTATAAAAAGCGGTTAAGGGGTGAGTGCATCCTTTAGTCTAGCAAATGCGATATCCATAAATTCCGTGAACACTGGAGAGCGCTTTCTATGGGAGTTCTCATATGGAACAGATCATTCTAATTCTGAAATATGGCAAAGCACAGGCAACTGCGGTGCGTAAGAAGAAACATCAATTTGGGAATTACACATGTCCTCATCAATACAAAAGTGGGAGGAATGATACCCGTTTCAACTACTGGACAGTGTTCTCAGGAAGATGAAAATCAAAATGCAATCATGTGGTATCCCAGATACAGGAGGTGGTGTTATCCAAGGACATGCTTTTATTAGTTCATTGATACATAATTCACATGTCATACATTTCCATGGCTTATTCATATCAAAAGGAGCTGTACCGTCATCAGCCCAATCGGTTCCAGAACATTGCTCCTAGCTCCCCGTTTCCCACCATCCTTCCCTCCCATAGCCCCACGAAGCCAGTAATCCAGGTAGCGTGAGGACACACTCTTCTTTGGGGATTGCTTATGGTCTTGAAGCAACCTCTTAGGAACATCGCCTAGGTGAAAATGTTCATAACGAGCAAATAAAGGTTGAATGAACACTTACTTGGGGAACTGCTCTGCAAAAATCCCTTTGAGAGCTCAGAAGATGTAAGCCCAAATCCGTGTTCTGTTGATGGCTCCACAACTTCTCTGTCCCCTAAATTCCCCGTGACTCTGCTGTCCCCCCTCGACTCCTCTTCAGTGGGGGAAGATGGTGAAGTTGGGGCGATTCCAGAGCTGTCAGGGAAGCGCCCTCTCTCATTTACAGGCCCCGGGGAGACAGGCAGAGGCTGGGGGACCCTGGGGGCACCTGCAGTGAGCATGGCGTCATCATGCGTACTCTCCGTCTGATGAACTGAGGGGCTGCTGAAGGTCGTGAGGTTATTTAGCTCCTTTATACTGCCAGAAGCTAAAACAGAAGCAAAGAAACCTTAAAACGCAGAGCTTGAAGGAAACCAGGAACATATCTAAATGCATATAATGATTAGTGGATAAATCTAGGGGCCGTGACTCAAGTGGCCACCAACACATGGAAAGGTGCTCCGCATCATTAGCCATCCATCCAAACCACAATGAGCTGCCCCCTCCCCACCTAGGATGGCTTAGATTTTAAAACTGCTAACAGAATGTAGGGGGAATTGTAACCTGCAAAATGACATGGCCATTGTACAAATCAGTGTGATGGTTCCTCAGGACAAAAACATATTATGGAAGAAATATTAAGACATATACAAATTATTATTAAAAATTAAAAAGAATTAAATATGACCAGCAATTCCACTCCCAGGTATATGCCTAAAAGATCTGGCAGCAGAGACTCAAGTGGGGACTCAAATATGGTACCTACAGACAATGGACTGCTACTCTACCAGTCGGAGAAGCCAAGTCCCCATACACGCTACAATGTGGATGGGGTCGGAAGGCACGCTTAAGTGAGCTAGGTCAACCCTGAGAGGACAATTGTACAACTTCACTTACATAAAAAGGCAAGAAAAGGCAATTGTAGACGGACTAAAGTTTCTTAGGGGTGACCAGGAGGAAGGGAAGGAGGGAGGGAAAGGAAATACCATATTGACTCAAGGCTAGGGTTGTATCACTGAACATTGTACCACTGCTGTCAATAAGTTGTACTCTTGTGAAAGGGTGGGTTGGCAAAAGTTGTGTGATAGATCTATTTACAACAGCGGCCCCCCAAAGAGCAGCTGCCGAGGCTGCTTAGGTCAACCCACGCTCATGGGATGGAGTCCCACGGTCTGGAGTTTCGGGGTCATGGTTCCGTGGGGCATCCCAGTTAATGGACCTACTAACACGTTTTAGAGCTTCTGGTCTACCTCCTCGTTGGTTGTGTAGTGCCTGGGGTCTTGGAGGCTTGCGAGTGGCCACCCGAAGCACAGAAGTGGATGTGTCCACACACCTGAAGCAGCAGAGGAAGACAGGGATTCAGGAGGAGGGTGGGGATATGGGATGCGTGGCTACACGAATAACCGGCTCCTTTGCCGGGAGACCAGAAGAACGAGATAGTGCCTGGCTACTGCTATGGAATGTTTAGGTCAGAGATGCTACAGAAGAAGCCTTATTAAGAAAAAAAAAAGGGGTGTGTGTGTGTGTTGCAGAATAGAATATCAATTTCCCATGGATTCTAGACTTCCTAGAGCCACGGAGATCAGAGGAACCCCTGAAACTCTTGCCCTGATATAATCGTAAAGCCTCGAGCCAAAAATATCCCTCGAAGACTTCTTAAAACCAAACAACTGTTTAGCTTAACTTGTAAAAACTGTCTTCCCGGACAGCTATACTCTGCTCTTTAAGAATAGAACCAAATCGACAACAGCAACTGGAAAGAGCAGATGGGAATTGGGGGCGGGAGGGAGCAGGGTGCTGCAGAGAGGGAGGAAGAACTTGCTCAACGGCCGAGTCTGCTTTTCCTTTTTTGCTTCTTCACTATCAAGGACTCTTATTATTCCCCCCAAAGGTTATGCTAGGAGCGCTGGTGGCGTAGTGGAGTGTGTGTTGGGCTGCTAACCGTAAGCTCACCAGTTCAAAGCGACCAGCTAGCTGCTCTTTGGGAGAAAGAGGAGGCTTTCTACTCTCATAAAGGGTCACAGTCTCAGACACCCACGGGGCAGTTCGCCCTTGTCTTACAGGGCCGCTGTGAGTGGGCATCGACGCGATGGCAGCGGGTCTAGCTTTTGGTTTAAGGGTTTTTGGCTACAGTTGAACCTTACGTACTGAGAGACTGTTAATGGAACTCCCCGGACTGATTCAGAGTTCCTGAGCAGCGGGAGATGCTTATCGTCAGCCCACGAGCACGATTTCATCCTGCCGTCGCGCACAAGCTTCATTACTCTGGCTAGCCTCCTCAGACGCTGAGACCAGTCCGCAACAGGACGTGTCCCCCCGCAGAGACCACGGACTGCCGGTTGGCAATAGTTTTGCCAACACCTAACTAAATGGTTGAGGACGTATCAAGGAGCTCAGGCTTACAGGACCTAAATCTCCCTGGTCAAAGTCCACGTGGTGCCCTGCAAAACCACAGGCTCCCTTCCGCAAAGAATTTTCCACCGGGACACCTGAGAACCGACCTCCGGGAGGGACAGTGAAATCCACAGGGCGCCTCGTTCCTATGCCTCGACCCAACTGCAGGAAAGCGTGGTGAGCGGGCAGTGGCGGAGGCAGGGCCGGCCGGTCTCACAGGCAAGAAAAGAAGGTTTTTCTCTTTTTCGGGAAGCGTCTCCACAGAAAGCAATCTATGCCTGCATAACGAAAGGCTTCACGCTGTTAATTATGTCCCAAGTGAGGGACGAAGGGAGCGGTCTTGGTAAACCGGTCTCTGAAGACCATTCCTACCTGCAGTTTGACCAAACGCACAGATGAAATCAGCTAAAGAAGCGGCATGGAATTTAAAAGGCTCCTCCCGCTGCTCTTGACCAAAGAGACCTCAAAGCAAAAACTCACGGTTCTGACGCATAGTGACCCTACAGGTAAGGTGACCAGACATCCCGCTTTTGGCAGGACAGTCCCGATTTTTAACAATTTTAACAATTTTTCTTGCGTCCTGCGGTGTTTTAAAAAAGTCCTGGTTTTTGGAAAGAATGCACGACAAGCTAGGTGTACGGTTTTCGGCTGCCATGTGGCTATTTCGCCAGGCTATGAGTTTGATCAAAGGTGTCCCGCTTCACCAATGTTACAATCTGGTCACCTTACCTATAGGACAGAGTGGAACTGGCC